AATGGTCCTTCGCCATTATGATAATTTTACATTAATTACTAAAATTCCAGAACTTGAATAAAATACCCAAATAATACTTCTTCATTTAAGAACTTGTAAACAAGTCCCCAAAGTTTTGGAACCTTTCGAATTCCACCATCTAACCATTAGAATGAATTTTTTTGAAATCTTCTCAACATTTCCAATTTATTCAAAATTGTCTCTTGCCATTTAACTTCAATTCCAATCATCCAAAAATATATTTAACATTTAAACATTATTCTTCATCTTCTAATCCATTTCAACTTAAATTCTACAAATTTCCATATTAAGACAACTTGTGCTATCTTTAAAGAATCAATATTCTGTATTAATGTACACACTGGAATTTGATTCCGTTTCTTCCATTGAAAACTAGACTCGAATACGAATCTATCCATATAAATAACTCCTTCTAATTTAATCTGTACAATTTATGGTGAATTTTTAAAGTTGACTGACAGAATCTGTTTTATGCAGAATCTGCTGCCCGTTTTTATGACTTTTCGTCGGTTAAAAATTCATATATTTTTTTATACAACTTGAAACTGATCTCCGTTTGTTTTAAACGAAACTAGATTGATATAAGAACACAATATATAAAAATCACCTGCTAATCATTTTCATAGAATTTCTGGTGAATTTTCAAACTCACTGCCAAATTCAAACATCTAAACAGTTTTCATTAGTTTGCATCCTTAGGTTCTTCATCAATTCTTACAACACTTCTAATATCAAGAATCAATCTTTAATCATAAAAATCACACTTCCCCTTCATCCACATAAATCACCCATTACCACCATTTAAACATGAAACCAAGAATTAATTACACCATCTTATAGAGAAATTAGTGTAGGTGAATTTCTTATTTCACGTTTTAGTCCCAAAACTCACTAAATTTGGTCAAAAATAGAAGAAAATAAATTTTCTTACCTTGGCTATGGATTTCAGCAACCTGCTGGAGGAGAGAAGAGAAGTTCACGAGCATTCTAAAAAAAATCTCTTACTTTAACCCTTAAAAAATCAATTATAACTAATTTTTTTTAGGCTAAAAGACTAACTTACCATTAATGAATTCTCAAAATTACACCCATGCCAGTCCATGACATCATCCCTTACCTCATCAAATTCAGAAAATATCTTAATTCTAATTTTTCATGTTTGTCCTTCTAATTTTTGAAATTTACAATTTAGTCACCTAATTCCAAAATTTTGGCTTAACATGGAAAATCGACCTTAATTCCATTGATCCATGTTAAATTTCACTTTTCTAAAATATATAAATAATATTTCCAACCTTTATCTAGCATCCTTCACATTTTTGTGAAATTTTGATTCGATCTGATTATCCGATTTAATACCGAACTTTACCACTTTATAGCCTTTAACACAAATCTCGTACCGAAAATATGATTTCCACTAAAATCCTTGTTTTCGGCCAAACTTTTCATTTACGGCTAAAATATATAACTTTTAAAAATTACAAATTTTAGTCCCTATACTTTTCTAAATTTATACTTTAGCCACTAAACTTTTAAAACTTACATTTTAGTCACTGGTCAAATTTTTGGGGTATTACAATTCCTCCCCCCTTAAATAAAATTCGTCCTCGAATTTTCCATATATATTTACATACCTGAATTAAATAGATGAGGAAACTTTTTCTTCATGTCTTCTTCTCGTTCTCAAGTTGATTCCTCAACTTTATGGTTTCGCCAAATTACTTTTACTAATGGAATCGTCTTATTTCTTAATTCTTTGACTTCATGTGCTAAAATCTTTACTGGCTCCTCTTCGTATGATAAATCTGGTTGAATCTCAATTTCCTCCCGTGTAACTACATGTGAAGGATCTGATCGATATCTTCGAAGCATTGATACATGAAATACATTATGAATCTTGTCCATCTCTGGAGGTAACGCCAACTGATAAGCTACTGGTCCAACTCTCTTTACAATCTCGTATGGTCCGATAAATCTTGGACTCAATTTCCCTTTTCGTCCAAATCTTAGAATCTTTTTCCAAGGTGACACCTTAAGAAATACCTTATCACCCACTTGATATTCAATCTCTTTTCTTTTTAAATCAGCATAAGATTTCTGTCTATCAGCTACTATCTTGAGATTGTCTTGGATTACTTTCACTTTGTCTTCCATCTCCTTAATTAGATCTGGACCAATTATATCTCGATCTTTTAATTCGTACCAATTCAGTGGTGTTCGACATTTTCTTCCATACAACGCTTGAAAATGAGCCATTTTGATACTTGATTGATAACTGTTATTATAAGCAAACTCTGCTAAAGGTAAATACTTTTCCCACGATCCTTTAAAATCAATAACACACGCCCTTAGCATATCTTCAAGTATCTGAATAGTTCTTTCAGATTGACCATCTGTCTGAGGATGATAAGATGTGCTAAAATTTAGTCTGGTTCCCAATGCCTCATGCAAGGACTTCCAAAATCTCGAAGTGAATCTCGGATCTCTATCGGAAACTATCGAAATGGGTACTCCATGAAGTCGTACTATTTCTCTGATATATAACTCAGCATACTTGTTCATAGAATAATCTTCTCGAACTGGGATAAAGTGTGATGTCTTTGTCAATCTTTCCACTATCACCCAGATCGAATCTTTCTTACTAGGTGTCAAAGGTAAACCTGTCACAAAATCCATGGTAACTGGTTCCCATTTCCATTGAGGAATTGAGATAGGTTGCAACAACCCCGAAGGTACTTGGTGTTCTGCTTTTACCTGCTGACAGGTTAGACATTTAGAAACAAACTCAGTGATAGCTCTTTTCATACCTGCCCACCAATACCGACTCTTTAAATCTTGATACATTTTGTTTCCTCCTAGATGCATAGTCAAAGGACTATAATGAGCTTCAGAAAGAAGATCTTTCTTCAGTTCTTCATCATCGAGTATGCAAATTCGATTCCGATAATACAAACATCCATCAGACTTAATTTCAAAATCTGTCATTTCTCCTTTCTTTGCTTGCTTCATTCTATCTAAACACTTCTTATCTTTATTCTGAAGATCCTTGATACGATCCAATAGGACGGGTCTCAATCTCAATTCCGCAATCAGTGCACCATCATCTTCCATTGATAGTCGTGCATCTAACGCTCTCATAGCAGCAAAGGTTTTTCGGCTAAGTGCGTCAGCTACCACATTAGCCTTCTCAGGATGATAATCAATAATCACATCATAGTCTTTGAGAAGCTCAATCCATCTTCTTTGTCTTAGATTTAACTCTTTCTGAGTGAGCAAATATTTTAAACTCTTATGATCTGTATAAATATAACATCGCTTACCATATAAATAGTGGCGCCATATTTTTAGAGCAAACACTATAGCTGCTAGCTCCAAATCATGTGTCGGATAATTCCGTTCATGCGTCTTTAACTGCCTTGAAGCATAGGCTACCACTTTACCTTCTTGCATTAAAACACATCCCAAACCATTATGGGATGCATCACTGTAGATTACATAATCTTTTCCTAACTCTGGCAGTACTAATACCGGTGCCTCAGTCAGAATCTTTTTAAGCTTCTCAAAACTTTCTTGACACTTTTCATTCCAAACGAATGGTACATCCTTTCGAAGTAGTTTGGTAAGTGGAGATGCAATTATTGAAAAATTCTTCACAAATCTCCGATAAAATCCAGCTAACCCCAAGAAAATTCAGACTTCAGAAACATTTTTCGGAGGTTTCCACTCCACTACCGCTTGTATTTTCTTAGGATCCACTCTAATTCCTTCTACTGAAATCACGTGACCCAGAAAGGAGACCTCTGACAGCCAAAATTCACATTTTGATAATTTAGCATATAACATTTTATCTTGTAATATCTGAAGTACGATACGGAGATGTGTGTCGTGCTCTTCCATAGTCTTAGAATACACCAAAATATCATCAATGAACACAACCACAAATTGATCCAAATATGGCTGAAAGACTCGATTCATCAAATCCATAAATGCTGCTGGAGCATTGGTTAGTCCAAACGGCATCACAACAAACTCATAATGACCATATCGAGTTCTGAAAGCCGTCTTTGGAATATCTTCCTCTTTTATCTTTAGCTGATGATACCCTGATCGAAGATCAATTTTCGAAAATACTGAAGCACCCTTGAGCTGATCAAACAGATCATCGATCCTCGGAAGAGGGTATTTATTCTTCACTGTCACCTTATTCAATTTACGATAATCTATACATAATCGCATCGAGCCATCTTTCTTTTTAACAAAAAGTACTGGTGCACCCCAAGGAGATATACTTGGTCTAATAAAACCTCGATCTAATAGCTCATGTAATTGCGCCTTTAGTTCTCTGAGTTCCGTTGGAGCCATCCTATATGGAGCCATTGAAATAGGAGATGTACCCGGGAAAACTTCAATTTTAAACTCCACCTCTCGATCAGGAGGTAATCCGGGTAAATTATCAGGAAATACATCTGAAAATTCTCAAACTGTCGGAATATTATCTAATCGAATTTCAGATGTCCGGGTATCGAGCACATTTGCTAAGAAAGTTGTGTAACCTTTTTCCATCATTTTCATTGTCGTAAAGGCTAATATTACATTAGGCGAAGACCCCGCTTTTTCTCCAATTACTATTATCTCGGTACCCTCTGCATCCTTTATAAATAATCGCTTAATGCGACAATCTATCCAACCATAATGCCGAGATAACCAATCCATGCCCAATATAATCTCAAACTCATCAAACGGTAACTCCAAAAGATTCGCTGGGAATATAACCCCTTGAATCTTTAGCGGACAATTTCTGCTAATCCTTGTGACTCTAGCACTATGACCCAGTGGATTTATAGCTATCATATCACTATTGATGGGTTCTAACGGAATATTCTTATTTTTAACTAATTTCGAGCTAACATAGGAACACGTAGAACCCGGATCAATCAAAACAAATGCAGGCTTATCATAAAGATAGAAAGTACCTGCTATGATCTCTGGGTCGTCACGATCATCATTAGTCTTGATGTTATAAGTTCTCGCTGGAGCACGAACGTCAGACTGGGAGGCTGTATCAGAATATCCCCTCCCTCTACCTCTGCCTCTACTGCCTCTCTGAGATACTGCTACAGACCTTTCTGTCTGCACTGGTCTCTCCCCAATTAAAGGGCAATCTCTGACAAAGTGATTGGTATCTCCACAACGGAAACAAGCTCCAGTCTTCATTCTACAAACTCCAGGGTGATTTTTACCGCAATACTGACATGGTAATATTTGATCCTGTGATCGAGCTGATCTACTGGCTCCTAAAACTGTCATATGAGACTGTCGGCTTTTTTATTTTGCCTCAAATCCTTTACGACTAGAAGCACCACTTTCAGTTTTATTTTGATATCGATAACTGGAACCTCAACCTCTTTTAGACTGAAAAGATGATGATGCTCCGGATCTTTTAGACTGTCGTCTCTGCTCTATCAGAAAATTCTCATTTTGTGCCATTTCCAAATCTTTTGCTTTGTTCACTACTTCCTGAAAAGTGGTCAAGTTCGCAGCCAACAGAAGTTCCTTGAGTCTGGGACGAAGACCTCGAATAAATTTCTTACATATGTCTCTTTCAGTAGGAATCATCTCTGAGGCATATCGAGCAAGTTTATTAAACTCACATTCATAATTGTACACCGATTTACCACCCTGAATCAGATTAAAGAAATCATGCTTCATCTGAGTAATAAATTGCTCTCTAATATACTTCTTCTGAAATGCTTCTAAGAAAAACCGCCATATGATCTGATCTGGAGGAACACGTGTCGTCACGTTCGTCCACCATATACGAGCCTGACCTCGTAATAATGAAACTACTCCCTCTAATCTTTCATCATCGGAACAGTGAAGACTGTCCAACATTATTTTCACATCATTCAACCACATATCTACTTCTACTGGACCTTCGTTTGCTTCGCCTTTAAATTCTACAGCTCCTAAGCTTTTTAATTCTTTCGGAACCGATATTCTCAGAGCTGGAGGAAGAGGTGGAGGCGGAGGAAGAGGAGGTGCTGCCGCCGGCTGATATCGAGCCAGTATAGCCTCTAAAGCTTGTAAGAAAGTTCCCTGATCTAGAGTGGGTACTCCTTGATGTACAAGTTCTCCCTGATGTTGAGGTACGTGTTCTACTTCGTTACTACTCCCACTACCAGTTCCCTCAGGAACCTCTTCTTTGGTGGCCTGTCTTATGCCTTCCGAACTCGACATCTAAACAAAAGCACAAATTTACGTTAGTAAGGAGCAGCATCATAAATAAAATCATCAGACCATACCATATCAGTAATTTCGACATCTTAGTGGCATGTGCATATTTTTGACATATTATAGGTTCGATTTAGGTCGAGAATCTGCTAAATCTGTAGCTCTGATACCGATAAATGTAACACCCTTAACCCGTATATGTCTCGATATACGAGTTAACGATGTCACATCAAACTGAAAACATTTATTGAACTGAAATTTCCGTAAAAAAAAATTTTCTTTGAAAATACTATTGTTCTAACTTTAAAAAAAATCTATTTTAAAGTATATTTCATATTATAATTTCTTTCTTTATTACAGGAAAATAAATTCATTATTTATTCAGTAATTTTACTAAACCATGTATTTTTGTAAAACCTTTTAAAAACATAATAATGTAATAAATTCTTGTCATGCATAGTTACCAATAAAACTAAACTAAGTAAAATAAACTAAAATAGTTCTAGTTTACTATTACAATTTATTTAAAATAAATACGATAATTAGAAACTATTGACATAATTATACATGCCACTATAAGTCAAAAGGAACATCATAGATGTCTTACTGATACTGATGATATGTATGTCTTTCCAAAAGATGCTCCGATAGCTCCTTACCGATTGTACATATCCTTACTAGAACCTACGCATGAAAATCATCACGCGCTAAGTATAACTTAGTGAGGCAGTAATACTAAAGGTGAGAATAATTAAATAAAATATCAAAATATATAAAATCATTAAAATAATACAGACTGAAATTCTTCAGAATATTCAAACCAGATATCTCATGTTGAACTTTATAATAAACCTGAAAATAATCATCTGATAATTTTCACAAGATCATAAATAATCAGATCAGATAGAATAATAAATTCATAATTCTTTGTAGTCAGACACTTTTCATAACTTTCTTATTTCATTTTTATAGCCCAAAGTATATTTTAAGAGAATATAAGATACGTGAGTCAGACGAGTGTGCGCAATACATATATCAGATCATCAGTCGGAACAGATAAGCACACATAGTGCTATCACATCAGAAATAACAATATGCACACCAAGTGCATTCAGATCAGAATATATATATATATATATACTAGTGTACACTCCGTTACACCACAGTATATCAAAATCAGAACAGATAATCACTCCACCTCATGGCATGCCAATTGTAGCTTTGACTCTCAATATAACATACAGTGGGCTTTTAGTTCATTTCTTAACCATTTGATAAACATCATATCAGAGTCGAAAATATATTTAATTCATATTCTTAAAATGTGACATGGACAATTCATGTCCAAAAACTTTCATAAAACTTATTAAAGAAATTATGGATATAATTTCATAATCAAAACATAATTCATATCTTTGAAATAAATAAAGTGAGGTTGACTTATCGCAAGTCGTCCTCGATCAAAATAATTAAATAAATAAATTGCACTCACCTTTGCCTCACTTAAGAACTTGTATACGATAATACTAGTCACAAGCTTTGTCCTTTCCTTTTAGATTGTTCGGATTGCTAGTTTTATTGAAATCTGACAATACGAAATTATAACACAAAATGTTTAAACTACATATTAGTATCGTTCTAACATAAGCTCATTTTTGACATTTGAGAATCTATAAAATAAAATTGATAACTAAATCGATATCAACCTAAATCATAACTCCATTATAACGTCAAACCACATATTTTTGAATTCTTTCTAAAATTCAACTCAACTTTTCCTTTAATTCATAATGGTCCTTCGCCATTATGATAATTTTACATTAATTACTAAAATTCCAGAACTTGAATAAAATACCCAAATAATACTTCTTCATTTAAGAACTTGTAAACAAGTCCCCAAAGTTTTGGAACCTTTCGAATTCCACCATCTAACCATTAGAATGAATTCTTTTAGAATTCTTCTCAACATTTCCAATTTATTCAAAATGGTCTCTTGCCATTTAACTTCAATTCCAAGAATCCAAAAATATATTCAACATTTAAACATTATTCTTCATCTTCTAATCCATTTCAACTTAAATTCTACAAATTTCCATATTCAGACAACTTGTGCTATCTTTAAAGAATCAATATTCTGTATAATTTACGCACTGGAATTTGATTCCGTTTCTTCCATTGAAAACTAGACTCGAATAAGAATCTATCCATATAAATAAATCCTTCTAATTCAATCTGTACAATTTATGGTGAATTTTTAAAGTTGACTGACAGAATCTGTTTTATGCAGAATCTGCTGCCCGTTTTTATGACCTTTCCTCGGTTAAAAATTCATATATTTTTTTATAGACCTTGAAACTGATCCCCGTTTGTTTTAAACAAAACTAGATTGATATACGAACACAATATATAAAAATCACCTTCTAATCATTTTCATAGAATTTCTGGTGAATTTTCAAACTCACTGCCAAATTCAAACATCTAAACAGTTTTCATTAATTTGCATCCTTAGGTTCTTCATCAATTCTTACAACACTTCTAATATCAAGAATCAATCTTTAATCATAAAAATCACACTTCCCCTTCATCCACATAAATCACCCATTACCACCATTTAAACATGAAACCAAGAATTAATTACACCATCTTATAGAGAAATTAGTGTAGGTGAATTTCTTATTTCACGTTTTAGTCTCAAAACTCACTAAATTTGGTCAAAAATGGAAGAAAATAAATTTGCTTACCTTGGCTATGGGTTTCAGCAACCTGCTGGAGGAGAGAAGAGAAGTTCACGAGCATTCTAAAAAAAATCTCTTACTTTAACCCTTAAAAAATCAATTATAACTAATTTTTTTTTTATTTTAGGCTAAAAGACTAACTTACCATTAATGAATTCTCAAAATTACACCCATGCCAGTCCATGACATCATCCCTTACCTCATCAAATTCAGAAAATATCTTAATTCTAATTTTTCATGTTTGTCCTTGTAATTTTTGAAATTTATAATTTAATCACCTAATTCCAAAATTTTGGCTTAACATGAAAAATCGACCTTAATTCCATTGATCCATGTTAAATTTCACTTTTCTAAAATATATAAATAATATTTCCAACCTTTATCTAGCATCCTTCACATTTTTGTGAAATTTTGATTCGATCTGATTATCCGATTTAATACCAAACTTTACCACTTTATAGCATTTAACACAAATCTCGTACCGAAAATATGATTTCCACTAAAATCCTTGTTTTCGGCCAAACTTTTCATTTACGGCTAAAATATATAACTTTTAAAAATTACAAATTTCAGTCCCTACACTTTTCTAAGTTTATACTTTAGCCACCAAACTTTCAAAACTTACATTTTAGTCACTGGTCAATTTTTTGGGGTATTACAGACAATTTGTGTACCTTCATTACTTTAGAACCAACACCTTGTATATAGTGAACCTTGTGCGTCAGAAACCATGTCGAAACTTCGTCCAACAATGATCACCCTAATAAGTACACAAAGGAAGAATGCCTCCTAACCTTTACCTTTCAGTCTGTAGAATATATTTACTTTCTAATAAAAGCATGTGAACTACATATCATGTGGTTAAGGTGTGGTTTTGATATCTAATTATGTGGGGGTAGAGAGCATGTCTGGGTAAGATTCTTATTTTAAAAAAATATGCTTGGGTAAATGCCATGTTGGGTAGCTAATGTTTGTTTTACCTTTATTTTGCTTTTTTTTTATTATCCTTATTGACTTGCGTTTCCTTTTGTTCTATTTGTTTGTTTTCATTTTTGGTGCTATCATCATAATATCATGAAAGAATGCATTGATCTGTGGGTGACTCTCTTTGGAAAATTTTTCATACATGGAGAAAAAGTACCTGAACTAGAACTACCCATCTACTAAAGTATGTGTGTGGTCCGAGAATGCTAAAAACGAATTAGGAGATAGTCTGTCGGAGGACCATATATCAGGGCTGACTAGATATACTCACATCGATGTTCGGCAAAATGACATCGAGGACCTAAATGTAATCGAGAATAGTTTGAAGAGCAATGAGAAGAAAAACATTCCAAAGAATGTATGGTGACATCGCAGATTTTCTTTTCGTTACTTTAGAGGAACCTTTTATCTAAGCTCTAGCTCAGTTTTGGAACTCATCCTATACATGGTATACTTTCAATAGGCTTGATTTGACCCCAACCATTGAGGAGTATATTGCTTTGTTTAACCTCATTCGTTCAAAAAAAGATAGTAAATGTCACAGGAATGGGTGAGAAATGGGCCTCAGAACAGATCACGAAAAAAGGGGAAGGTGAATAAGTTGCATGGCAAGCCACCAAGAAGGTTATCGAAACACACCCTAATAATGACAAAATTAATCTTATTGGTCTTAGGAATTTATGGCCTTGTGATCTTCCAAAAGATTTTGGGGTATGTGGAATCAGCTGTGTGGGATTTATTTGATTAGTTGAAAAGATAAATCAACACTATGCTGACAGTATTGATTGAAACCTTTTGAACCCTAAGTGCCTGTCGTAAGCATAGAGGAGGGTGATTCTTTGGATGTGCTCAATTACTGATCGTATGGATCCAAACTCGTTTTTTGAAGGAAGAAAATACAACTATTAGGACAATGTTATCCAATTCTTTTCCGTTAGAAGATTTTCTCAAGCAGGAGTGGGCAACAGATACCCCTGAGGATAGATGGACTACTGCTTTCAAAAACCTTAAGGAGAAAGAAATCGTGTGTAAAACACCTTGGTTTTATCTGAGATATGTCCTTTATCGCATAAAGGACCATGATTGGGTAAGGCTCCTAGGAATATGGGGAGCCATCGCATATGCCCAGCTATTAGTTCTGAGGTAATATGGAGCGCGTTAGTTTATGCCCGTCACCCAAGGGTTGGCTACGTCTAAATTCTTTTTCCAAGGAGGACATTATAAGTCTAAGATTTGAGAAATCTCTGAGCAACAGAGTAAAACTTTTCGAAGCTTGTTAGTAGCATCATCAGTAATGGTGACCCTTGATTACGAAGATTGGAGGCCTTGTAGAGAGAATGAGAATCTTCCACAGCTTGATGAAAACAATATCCCGATGGAAGAAGTGGTATGAGAGGCACCTTTAGAGGTCGAGATTCTAAGGAGAGAGTTCAAAGATGAAAGAGATGAATGGTCAAAGAAAAGTGGAAATGTGAAAGATGTGATATTCCACATGAGTTTAGAAAAAGACGTTTACAAAGCAGTCGCTGAGTGAAAGAAATAGGGGCCCTAAAGTGTCGTTTTAAAGTCTTGGATAAGGAGAACAATCATCATCTCAAAAAGCTTGAAGTTGAGACGAAAAAGAGAGAGGAATTATAAGCCGATGGTAAGGAAATGATCAAGAAAACTAAAGCCTACAACTGAGAAATCGAAAGGCTGAAAAAAGAAAATCTTCAATGAGAAGAACAAGAAAGGAATAGAATCTAGGAATTGGAAGTTGAAATTAATAACATGCTAGAATAGTTCAAACACATAGACTTAAGAATTCAAGAGCTTGAGGACGAAAGAGAATCGAGAAAGAATGAAATTTGGACAAAGAGACAGAGTTGGAATCGCCTCCTCGATAGGAAGTAGGCTGAAATCACATCATGGATGTAGAGTACTCAACAAAAAATCAACAAGTGGAGGATCTCACTAAAGAAATGGAAAAGATGTAATTAAGGCACGAAGAATAATTGAACCATATTAAAACCAGGAATCTTGAGCTCGGGGATCAAAACGGAATATCTACATCAAGTGTAAGTCTTGCCTGCTTCGATGAAACTAAGGTTTTCTCGTGAAGAGAATAAGGCCCTACGAGGACAAGTTACAAGGTTAGAGGGCGAGCTTCAACAATGCCGCATCCAAATCACTTGCTGGAGAAGGATATTAACAATATCAATTCTGGGTTGAAAAACTCCTCCGAGTACTATCGAGCCATAGTAGCTGAGCAGAAACGTATGATGGGAAAGGCGATAGCTCAAATGGGTGAAGTAGCTCGTTATACAAGGGAATTGTTTAATATTGCATAAGTTGTTTTAGATCTTACCAGTCCAGTCTTTGATTACAATAAGAAGGTCACTGGGCTCATAAACTAATTTTTAGTACTGATTATGAGGGCGAGACCCTACCTGTTGTCAAAACTGCTTTGTCATGTTTGATACTTTTCTTCTAATGAAAGTTTTCCTATGATAATCCCTATTAAAGATCAATGCCTTTTACATTGGATTTTTACACTTGCATAAGCATTCATGCATTTGATTAGTAGAAATTCATAACATGCATTCATGGCTATAGGAATAAGAAAATTAATTTATGAAAGATTATGTGACAAAAGATACTAGAAGAAAAAGGGGACGTGATCATAATACTCGAGGTAAAAAATGGAATCAAAATTTGAACAGTTAAAGAAAGAGATGTAGGAGAATCTACTAAAGATGCATCATGATTGGAAAGTGAAAATGGAACAGATGCAGAAATCTACTATGGATAGCATCATGCAAAATCAGTCTAGCATGGTGGATCAGATTGTCTCAAAGTTGGATGGAATGAATGTGGAGGAAGGAAATGAGTCGGTTGTTGCACTAACTGAAACTTCTGAATGTGTTGCACCTCTGGTTGCCCCAAGACTGGTCATCATGCCAGAGAAGTCTGTTGGATCTCCTATCAGCTCATATTGTTGTCAAAGCTCAAACAACCTTAACAAATCCTCAAAACAATTTAAATGAGTACATGGTACCAGACCTTGATGATATCGAAAGGGCTAAGAAATAAATAATCGAGCATTTGAAGGATTGGTGTAAAGGCTTTCTTAAAGAAATGGGAGGGCACAACTCCCAAGAGATAGACACAACTGAATTGAGCCTAATACCTGATTTGATACTGTCCCTAAGTTTAAAATTATAGAGTTAGAAAAGTATGAGGGCAAGACCTGTTATGATACACAATTGACAATGTTTATCATGAGAAGAACATGTTTTTTCAAAGATGATAAACTTTTGATTCATTACTTTAAATCAAGTTTGATTAGGTCTACTTCAAGATGGTATAATCAATTAACTCAAGCTCAAATAGGATCATGGAAAGAATTGGCTAATTCCGTCAAAGAACAATATCAACATGTCGCGGATAGGATGCCTGATAGGGTCACCCTCCAAAATATAGAAATGAATCACAATGAAAGTTTTCGTTAGTATGCTTAACGTTAGAGGGATATTGCAGACTAGGTCCATCCTCCATTAGTTGAAAGAAAATTTATGACAATGTTCATATATACCTTGAAATCTCCTTACATCGACCATATGTTAGGAGTCGCCACGAAGTTTTTCGGACATAGTTATGAGTGGAGAAATGTTGAGAGGGCACTGAAAAAAGGCCAAATTTCTTGTGGACAAAACTCAACAGAAATTCCCTTTGTGAAAAAAAAAAGGAATGACATGTAAAAAATGTAAATATTTCTATGAACAAGCCAAATACTGAAGGTACAAATTCACAAGGTGCAACAAAGCGTGAAAACAACAATGAGAATATGTCATTTACACCAATTTCGTTGACATATAGCGAGCTCTTCCAAGGCTTGGTTAAAGCAATGTGGTAGCTCCAAGGTATGTGAATCAGCTCAAACCACATTATCCAAAATGGTACAATGAAAATGAGACTTGTGAATACCACAGTAATATCCCAGTGTATAACATGGAAAATTGTATTGCTTTCAAAAAGGATAGTGGAGGATTTGATTAAAAGAAAGGTTGTGTCGTTCAATAACTCTGAAGTACCTTGTGTTTTTGTAAACTGTAAC